GCTCTCAGGGCTCCCCTGTAACCAGGCTCAGCCCTTCTCTCCACACGGGACTCCATCCCCCACTCTATCTTATATCCGGCTCCAACCTCTTCTAAGGCTACCAGGCTCTCCTACAAAACCCTGCATGCATCCATGGACCCTGGGCTCTTCCAACCCTCCCTTTGACTCCCATCCCCTTTCTCACCCAGCCTTTTATGATCTCAGCCCCTCACAATCGTGTGCTCCCCTACATGTAACCACCCCCATCTCAGACTCCCTCTTTCTCTCTAACCCCTCTCCCTCCCCCTCCTTTATTTGCTTCCCTAGACTCGTTGCAGGCTTCTTGGATTTCTTATTCCCCTTTCCTGTTAATGTCACTGATGGCGGCAGGGAGAACTATCCCAGCCATAGATTCCTCCCCAAACATGTGCAAGTTGATGGCTGGTCAGGGAAGCCTCTTCCTGCCTGAGAACAACTTTCACGTCTGTGGCTCCCATTATCTCTTTGTGAAATGGTCTCATTGAAGAACAAAGTTATAAGGCAGCCGCTGGGATATTTAGTCAGTTCTGCTGGACAGGGATTCTGTTATACTGTCCAGCACCCATTTATCAAGTGTTGCAGGTCAAACAGTCAAGTCAGGAGAAAGCATCCTAATGCCAGGAGCTCAGCCTAGACTGAAAAATCACCAGCTGTCAGGGCCAGAATCTCCTATGCCAAGAGGATAAGCTGTTCCCCGTGGAGGGAAGGGGCCAGTTTCCTTGGGTTTTCAGACAGCAGGGTGGAATCCCCACTTTATTCCAGGGTGCAATCCCAATGTTGACAAGTCTTGTGGCCTGGGTCACTTAGGCAGGAAGCTGCACTCATCTGGCTGGGAGTCTATTAGCCTGAAATTGAGTTTAACAATCCCCTCCCCACCAACAACCCACCTTAAAGAATAGACACTGAGGCTGTGTCTACATTGGCAAGATTTTGCGCAAAAGCAACTGGCCGCAAGTTCTTGCGCAAGAACATTACGTTCTAATGTAAGAAATCAGTGCTTCTTGTGCAAGAATGACAATGCTTCCGCTCAGGAATAAGCCCTCTTGTGCAAGAGGCCAGTGTAGACAGGCAACACAAGTTTCTTGCACAAGAAAGCCCAATGGTTAAAATGGCCATTGGAGTTTTCTTGCGCAAGTGAGCGTCTACACTGGCACAGATGCTTTTGCGCAAAAGCACATGCCAGTATAGACGCTCTCTTGCACAACTACTCTAACGCAAAAACTCTTGCGTTAAAGAGTATTTGCACAAAATCTTGCCAATGTAGACGTAGCCTGAGGATACAGTGCCACTGTAGCACAGGTGCATCCCAGGGGGTTTTCAGTACATCCACCTCTTTGGGAGCTAGTAGCTATGCTGATGGAAGAATTCCGCCATTGAGCTAGCTATGTGTACAGTGGGGGTGAGGTCAACCTAACTACATTGCACAGAGCACAAACCATTTCACAATCCAAAGTGATGTAGGTCAAGTAATTAGCTGCAGTCCTAGGCACACAGCAGGAAAAGCTGGCAAATAAGAGGCATTCCAGGGGTACATCTACACAGCGACGTTATTTTGAAACAACTTAGTCTTTATCTACAGAGCCAGCAGTTATTTTGAAATAATGTCGAAATATTGTCAAGCTGGAGGACTTCTTACTCCAACTCCTGTAACCCTAATTTTACGAGTAAGGGAAGTTGGAGAAAGAGTGCTCTTTTTCGAAATAAGTGCTGTGTAGACTCTCCCTATTTTGAAATAGAGCAGGAAACTGTCTCATCTCTCAGTGGCCCTTCACACGGAACAGGGACTGTCAGAAATGATCTGACTCCACAGGGATCCTGCCCACAGTCCAGTGGTCTTGTTTAATGTGTCTCTTTTAATCTGAGGACCATCAAGACACGAGGGATCAGCTGTAACTGTCCTCTAATGCTGTATTAATACCTCAAAGACGTTAAAAAATGTAGCACAACTACCTCTCGTGTTTTATTGTTCATGGAAATGTGGAAGTCTGTTATAACAATTTCCTGCTCAATGTGTTAGCATCCCCCAAGCATACAAGTATCTGGTGCAACTTCACCTCCTGCCTGTCCTGCAGGTAGTGCCTTGGGACCATCCAGACAGCTGATGTTAAAAGTCTTGCTGGGTGCCATCAGGCGAGCAGGACTGGCACTTCTCTTCAGCATGCCTAACCCCTTGCACTTTTTTCTGCTAGTAAGGCTGCAGCACAACACAAAGGAGCTTCTACTGCATTAGTGGGGGCTTCTGTTGCTGGAAGAGCAGCCTTTCAAGGTATTCTGTAGTGGTAGGGTCCCTGAAGATAAGGGGTGCTAACAAGCCACCTAAGTTTGGATGGAGAAATAAGGCTGTAGATCAGCAATAGGCAACCTAGGTTAGTGGGACCCAGGATTGCTGTAACCAAGAGGGTCTCCTCGGATAGGGTAGTTTTGCTAACGCTGCTTGCGCACCTAGTATTTGTGGGGTATGCAGACTGAACGGAAGCAGCACTTTAATTGGATGCAGAGGGAATGCAGTCACAGTCAATGTTGTGTGCAATCAGCACACACGTGTGCCCTTGCTTTACATACGTGTCATTTTAGTAATATCGGTAAGAAAACATCTACCTGGATGGAACCCAGTGGAATCTGGCAACCCTGCTGTGGGCAACAGTCAACAAACTGTCTTGTGAGTGCACACAGAACCCGCAATGGACCAGCTGCAGCCCCTGGGCCGCAGGCTGCCCCCCATTGCTGTACGCACGTGGTAGTTGTAAGGCTGCTTCAGCTCCAGAGCTCAAATTCTGCAACTTGTTTCAGCGACACTAATTTCTGCAGCTGCTTTTTTAAAATAGGGTGAGTGATTAAATACTCCCAACTGATAAACCCTGCCTTAAGTGAGATGCTGTCAATGCATATGAGCAAAGACCACAGCACAGAGCCAGGGGAATCAGGAGTAGGGGACTAGGGTAAGCCAGCCAGGTCCAAGAGGAATCTGTGCTGAACAGACTTAAACAATTTGTATAGCAAGGGTGTCAAGAGCCATTGAACCAGCCTGGAACGTGTATATGATAGAAACCTGTGCAGAGATGAATACTTTAAATGCTGAACCAGTGCAGCTGCACCACTGCAGTGCATCAGTGAAGATGCTACTATGCTGCCTGGAGAAATTCTCCTTTGGCATAATTCACCTCCACAGAAGTGGTAGCTACGTCAAAGGAATGTTGCCATAGCACTGCCTGCAATATACCATAGCTTAGATTGGTAGAACTCTGTTGCTCAAGAGGATGAATTTTTCACCTCCCTGACTGATGTAAGTTCATAGTGTAGACCTGGTCTAAAAAATGTAGCAGCTAGTGAGCACCACTGCTCTCAGTGGTGTATGCAGAAGGGATGTAGGAGTGTAGCCGTTTAAACAAGTAACCAATAAGCCATGCCTCTGTATCAGAGGCAGCAGTGCAGAGTGGCAGATGGGAGCTGGCTGCCACCCTACATTTAACAGTGTAACTGCTGAAATTTTCAGTGGTTTTACAATTAGCCAGTTACATACATTTTAATAACCCTTGTAAGCACGTCTATAGATTGCCTACTGGTATTTTTAGCATGCCATGAAAACCTGTTCAGAGAAGTCTCTGATGACATGGTATGAAAAAACGGCTGGTCCTGACATTTTTTAAATCACATCCGACTGTATCTCTAAAAGATATTCCCTTGTTCACCTAGAAGTTGCAGGCTTGCTTCAGGAACCAGTGGGTGAAATTCTATGACTTGGGTTATGCAGGATGTCAGGTTAAATGATCGTAACTAGGGATGTGAAAGTGTAACAGTTAAGCATTAGCTTATTAGTTTCCACTACTGGCTCCCCAGGAGCGAGGCATGCAGCGGCTGCCAGCTCCCCTGTCAGGGAGATAGCTTTGCTAAGGGCACTACAGCATAAGAGTTATATATAAGCTTTATACTGTCAGCCCCTCCTGGCCTTAAAATACATGAATCTACCACATCCATCACTCTTAAAAATGGATAATTTTACAGACCAGTCAAGACCAATAAGGAATTTTTTGCATTCCCCATGACTAACTTCTGATAGTATGCCACAGAAAGCATGAAGCCTGTTCTGCTCTCCAGCATTGTAATCAATTCACCTTCATTAAATATATACTTACCTGCCATTTTGAAGGAAGGGTGGCTGCATTGCACCATGGCAGTACTTTGGAGGAGATCAAGTATGTTATTTTGAGAAGTCTCTTGTAAAGCACAGACCCTGACACAAGAGTTTTTAAAAAAATCCACTCAAGAGCCCTGAAGGATTAGGACAAAGTCTGGTGACATAGGAACATTCAACCTTTAAAATCTCTATTGTACGTACCTATAACCCCTGGGTGAGAGAGAGGCTCACAACAATAAGAAATCAGTCACTTTAGTGCAGCGAATTCAGGCTGCACAATGCAGAACACAGAAAGCAGAATTGTTTGTCCTTTGGCACAAAGTATACAGAGCCTCTGCTCAAAACATACTACTTACGCAATTACAAGCAAAACCTATTTTTTTAACCATCTTTATACTGTTAAAAAATACTCAAGACATCCAGGGAGCTTTTAAGCTTCCTGAATCTTGCAGATGGCTTGCAAACACTTTGTTTCCACCCTTACCCCCAAATCACAGGGTCTCAGTCAGGCACAGACACTTTGTAACTCTCAGCATTGTTTCACTGAGGCCTTTGATGCATCTTTGAAACTTAATTCGGAATAAAAGAGAGCCCCTCCCAGATAGTAGAAATCTGAAATGCAGGAGTTTCAATCAGATAAACTGTTCTCCAGCTCTGCTCTGAGATGGTATGATTGCTGGGCACAGTTGGGTAGTTATTCCAATTCAATAGAGGGCTGGTTTTATATGTGCATATTATATACATACTCGGATCCTGTTGAGAAAGTAGCTAAGTCTCTATCTGTGAGCTGTGCTCAGGTTTGTGCTATGATCAGAGACATTTATTCAAAGTCAAAGCAGAGGCGCCATTCTTTACACCAGGATGTTTTTAATCACTCCCTGAATTAAATATTGGCAGATATAGAAAGTTCAGATAGCAACTATTTCCCCCAACATTTACAATTATTTTCCCCAACATTTACAAGACTGAGTTCCATGATGCCAGAAGCCAAGGGTCTTCATGCACTGTCCTGGCAGCACTCATGACCGAAGTTTGCCCCCTTTCCAACATTCATCCACTTTCTGACTTCATCCCCCACAGATCAATGTTCCCTCATTTAGAGTATGTGGCATTGTCCAATGGCCAAAACCCCTGGGAGTGGGCAGCTTCAATACACCTCCACCCTAGAATTGATTCTACATTCCCCCTAAAAGGACAGTAGCATGGTCAGCATGCTTAACACAGGACCTACCTATTAACAGTAAGCTGATCCCCACGGTGCTGTTCTGCTCCATTCTTGGGGGAGAACAGGGGAGGGAAGTGGCACAATAATATTTACAAGAATGTTGCCCCTGAGAGGCTCTATGATCAGCATGGAGGAGGGTGCAGTGGAGGGATGGATGGAAAAGACACACAACCGCTCCTGCTGCACACCCATGCATTACCCTGCCGTTGCTGATCCTCAACCTGGATTTGCAGAATAGTTTTTTCCCCCTTGAAGGAGAAAAGCAAAATTCATTTAGAAAAAAATAAATAAATACATAAATAAAGCCCATGATTTGAGCTCAGGTGTCTGTGGGGAGACCCAAAGGCCATGTTATTTTTAAAAGAAAAAACTCACGTTCTGGTTTTCAGAGAACAGCAGCATTCAAGACCCCTCATTTCTCTTAGAGCACTTGGTGCTGTTTCTAACACAGAAGGCAAGACAGGAGAATGTCTGGTGTCACAGCAGATGCAAGATTCATGCAGAGCCCTAAACCAGGGGTCTTACAACGTGCCAGGCATCTGTTACCTTTTACAAGTTAAAATAAAAACTCACCTAAAGAACCATAGGGACAGGTAGGTAGGTTAGATCGGGGACACAATCATCTAAACAGTACTTTATTCACGAAGCGTGTTTCTGTTTTTAGCTAGCCCTCTGTGAGGTAGACGAGTATTAGCCCCATTTTACAGAAAGGGAAACAGACACAGAAAGGCTACAGGGATTTGCTATAATCACAGTGCAAATCTGTGTCAGAGCCAAGATTTTAACGAGCCAGGAGCGCCTCTTTTCATTCCAGGCTGCCCAATAGCTTGGGCTTCCCCTGACGACTGCAATTCCCATGCCAGAGGAGTTCTGAGGCCCGGCCCTGTACTGACATCACCCAGTCTATGTTGGTCTACCAGCCTTGCCAGAGTCAGCTTCAGAAGGGGCTCCCCACAAGTGAGTGAGAATGAATCATAGCTTTGAACTGTCCATTAGACTCTTTACAGATCCAGGAACATCAGTAACTCCAAATAACCAGGACCAGGTCATATGACCACTTTACACAAACCAGAAATGGTTCAAACCCCCAGGGTTACATTTACATGAAATTGGTATGAATTTGCCTGTCCTCTCTACATTAAGAGTGAGTGGCTCCCAATGAGTAGCTTATAATACATCACAAACAGGCCACAGAGGGATCTTGGACATTACTGTCTCCTGCTTTTCTCTTGTGGTTCTCATGCTGTGCTGTGACTATCCCACACAAGATGCCATGGGGGTCATGGGGCTGGGAATACACAACAATGAACGATGGGATTGTCAGTCACTTCGATTTCAGGTCCCACAGCTGTGCGCCATGCACTGGCACTGCTCTTTCTCTGCTCACTTTGCCAGTAAGAGATCCCTCCTTCTCCTGTCTAAGGGCAGCAGGATTGCCTCTTCTCATGGCAAGCTGCCTGGTCAGTCTTGGTCGCCCTCAGATGACTCTTCTTCTGCCTCCTCCAGCCACTGGATAAACTTTTGAAGCTGCAGAAACAATGAAATGCAATTAGGAAAAATAACCCCTTGAAAACAGCTACTTTAAATGAGACATCTGCAACTTAAGAACATAACTTTCTTGGCATTTGAACACCTCCACTGTAGACAAAGGAACAGGGAAAAAACACCAAGGAGATTAAGATAAAACAGACACTTAAATACAGGTGGCACAGAAGTGCTGACTCTCTAGAACCCACAAAGGAGGTGTCTTTGAGGCAACAGTACCCCCAAATTCCTAATAAAAAGAACAAAGTCTGCCTGAGAAATGGGAAGTTTGGACCCAGAGTTTTTCCATCAAGGGCTCATAGTAAGGAGGCATGACAACTCCATCTAATTTTCAACAAGTACATCGGGGGGCAGTGCAAGAAAAGCTGCTGCTAAGAGAAACCTACTCTGTCCAGGTCTGCTCTGAGGTTATGTACTTTGCTCATTTTGCCTTTTGATCCTGTTTAAACAAGCAGCTGTAGGCACGGACGGATTTTTATGAAGGGAGCTGACTTCACATGGGCTCTGAACTAAGCAAACCCGGCCTCTTCCTCAAAGAGGGTTTTCTTTCTGTACCGTTTGGAGGAAAGGCTTTGGAACTGGGCTTGGCCACATCTGAGTACGGAGTTCCTACAGATGCAGAGGAGGTTTATGCTTCTTGTAGCACAAGCCAGTTATAAAATGGCTATTGAGATTAAAAGCTGCTCAGTATGGCCAGTGTTTGGCAAGCCATGCAAATGGAGCGGGCCAGGTACAGCAACGTCAAAGGAAACAAGCGAGGGGGACAGTGTGTTACCAAAAGCCCATTTCAAGCAGGTGCTTAGCTTAGAGAGGTTTCTCCATTACACAGACCATCCCAGTAGTTTCTCGAGCACCTGTCAGTAAACCTCTCCCACTACCTGATCCTTCACCCAGAGCATGCTGGCGATGGCAGAAAGCCAGGTTGAGCTGCGGTAAGCAATGTATTGCGTGTTTCATTATCTGCCGCAACAAGTGGCTCCTGCTGAGCACCTGGCTTTCCCAGACCCACCCTTACCCCAAGGCGGACTGCAGCTGCTAGCAAATCCCTCCAGGACGCAGGGACTTACCTGCTGGTTTTTACGAAGCTGCCTGCCTTTCTCCGATGTGTCTCGCTGAGAAAACCAGCAGAGAATCATCTCTTCTGCCAGGATTTCCAGCTGGTAAAAGGTCATCAGTACCTGGACCAATCAGAAAACCATAAATGGGGCAGGAAACAGGCAGTTCTTCTGGGACTGGCTCACTTAACAGCAAGAGGCTGTGTACCACAACCTGGGGCTCCCAGCACAAGCCTCAGTGGGGGAGAACAGAGTGTAGATCTTCGTGCTTTTATTGTCCAAGATACCCTTGCCCTGCCAACACTGACCCCCTGCAGGTGAGGTTGTTTTGCTGCACAAAAGGATCAGGTCAGCGCTCCCCACAGCTTTCAGCTCCAAGGATGCAGGGCGGAGTATTTAGGAGTTGAAAGCAAGGATGGATCCCAAGGAGACTCCCCCTCCTCAGTAAAGCATGCTAACGACAAGTACTGAAATGGACCTTTCAGAAAGCTCCCATGTCCGCAGACCCAGATGTGTGTAATTCGGCAGCTGCAGCAGGGAAGCACACTCAAGCGGCTCAGCCAGCCCTGACTCCGATCATCGCATCTGCAACTCAACCCCACATGGCCTTTGCTAAAAGGGGCCTTTTGGTGGGTGTCAAATGCAATCAATCATTTGCAGAATCAAGCCCTTGCCCAACATTGTGATAAGGGAAGGATGCTAATGCACTCTAGCTTGGGGGGGCCTCATCACCCCTTTGTGCTCAGCATGAGGAGACACTTTGCAGCCAGTCTCCTCACGGCAGAGGATTGACAAAGCTGGGTGACATGTACCAGCTCCAGCAACGAGGGTCACTTCAATTCCTAGCCACCAGGGAAAGCCAAGCTCCTAGAACAATGGATACATGCCAGATAGTCATTGCCATTTAAGGTGAACTGAAGGCTTTTGACTTCAGTCCAGACTAAGTGTTCACACCATTAGCTAGAGGCACTGGTATCATGAGATAAGATTCCTCCTTCCTGGGAAACCAAGAGGTAGACAGGTTTGCAGGACAGCCCTTTTCCGGAAGTGACAGGCATAGTGCTGTGCAGACACTTGCTGAAAAACTATTCATGAAAAGATTCCTAACTGAGAGTTTAGCTCCAATTTTACATGGCAGAAATAATCTATTAACCCAGAGGGAGCATGTATGTATGAGGCATACATTTTAACACTCCGATATGAGGACCGAAACAACAGTGCAAAAGCAGATCAGCCACACACGACCTTCATTTTGTTCACTGATTTCCACCCAGTTCTGCCTAGATGGGAAATCCCACCCTCTTTCCAGCCTTGTCTATTTGCCATTTTAAAGCTACAAGATTCATTGCCCCCCAAGCTTTTGGGCCCCAGATAGTGGGTTTGGGGCCTTCAGTGTGCAAAACTGGCCTCTCCTCCACTCCTCTCAACTATAGCCCCATAGAATGAGTCCCTCTGGGTTCGATATTTCTAGATAGCAGCTCCAGGTTACAGGTCATCCAGTCCTCTTCTCTAGCAGGGCTCACTCAGAGGCCTACGCAGATGCAGAGGACAGATTTTAACCCTTTCTGACACACAAACCTTCCTTTCCTGATAGAAGAAAAGCGGCACCAACAAACTACAATTCACCACTGAGCTAGTGGAAGTAGAAGTCCTTGCTGCTGTGAGGAACTTACTTTGGCAATGGATGTGCGGAGGCCATCATGTTCCAGGAAGAACTCCTCAATGGCAGATAAGGCATCCAAGTGATCTGATGCCCGCTTGATGTAGTTCTTAAACACTGGAGACCAGTTCTTTAACAACTGCAGGAGGAATCAGAATAAAGAACAAAGGCTCTTGAATTATGAGACTTTTAATACAGCTATGTGCATGTTCAGTGCAGTTCCTCCATAGGAACAGACTTGTCTGTGGAAGCAAAGCCAGTAAAAGGCCATTCTCCAATCAGTCAGACCATCTAATTAGATACACAACACCTTCCCCAAGAGCTGAGTGATGTGTAGGGGATAGCTGTGGTTACAAGGTGACACTTTATCATCACAAATGAGTTCAGGGAGCAGGGAACTTGAAGGATGTCACTTTATAGTAGACCATGGCCAACAAAGGTACATCACTGCGTCACAGAGCAGTTAGAGAAGACAACTGAAAAGCAGAAAAAGGAATAACTATTGTACAGTAGTACAACTGAGCCGTTGTACAGTCGCCTGTGTTGCCACTCAATGCCGACAGAAGAGCTCTCTTGTGGGCATAATGAATCCATCCCCAATGCACGGTGGTAGCTACGTCATCAGGAGACACCCCACTGTCCACACTGGCACATCTGTTGATGTGACTTATGTCATTCGGAGGTGGTTTTTCACACCCCTTAGCGACAGAAGTTTTACCAACCAAAGTGCTAGTGTAGATACAGCTTTAGTAATTGTACCCTGCAGTGTCCATCAAGGGTCCCTCTAGTTATTTCCATCCATGTACGGAATAAATGTTGCTATGTGCAGATGTGTTATCACCAGTAGGAACACATGCTGCTGCCTGTGAGCATTAAGTGACGTTGCTGAGAAAAGAGGAAGCTGATACAGACTAACGGGGGTCTGGGCTGGGGGAGGAAAACTCCAGGATCCAGTGGCAGACTCCAGGCTCCAGACATCAGCCGCCAGGCAGTGGGGAGAGGCCTCGGGGCTTCTGCCTCATAAGGCACCGGGGCTCTGGACAGGTCAGAGCTTGGGGTTTGAGCCCCATATGAGGTGCTGTGCTCCCCATGGCTCTGCTCCCGGTTTCAGCACCACAGGGGTCCCAGGGATTGAGGCACAGGCTTCAACTGTGGGATCCTGCAGCTCCCTGAAACCAGCTCACAGACCCCTTGTTGAGAAATGCTGTGTACAGCCCTAGAATAAGAGAACAACTAACACAAAGTTGCCTGTTCGATAGCATGGCGAGCCAGGATGTGACGCTCCCATTAACATGCTGTGGGAAGCAGGATGTTTAAGTTGGGGAGTTCTGTTTCTTTAAGGGCATATTTAACAAGAGAAGAACTAACGGCCAAGTTAGTGCATCCCAAGTTCCCCTGCATGCCTATGGAGCTATACGCACTCTTACCATGCTCCTGGGATAGCAGCCCATTCTCAGAGAACAAATGGGTCTGCCCGCTGAGTGGAGATGGCACAGCAGCAATAGGGACTTCTTAGGGGAATTGGGAAAAGACCTTCCTCAGCCGCATTCCTGGTTAGTCAATGCTATTTTATCACTTGACCTTTCTCCCATCAACCACTGGAAGGAAGCGCCTTTGCCAGAAGGAAAGCTTCCATGCTACTGGCATATCTGGTGCCAACTCCTGCCAAGGTCCTTTAGGCCTCAGTTCATACAAACTCATGTTTTAATGGGTCCTGTAGCACTTTGTATCAGGAACATCCAGATTAGACTCTCATTCCATATTAGCATCACCTAAGCACTAGCCGGGGTTCTCAAATTACAATATGGGTGGGTTAAAAAAAACAACACACTCTCTCTCTCTCTCCCCCCCCCCCTCCTCCCCAATGGTTAGGCAGCAGATGTGCTGAGACGAGCATCTGTTGCACTGACAACACTCATCTCATTGTTCCCTTGGGCTCCTCTGTCTGTCTATGTCCATCTGTTGTCTTTCATCTTTTGCTCAGATTGGAAACTCTTTGGGGCAGAGACGGTGATCAATATGTGTTTGTTCAGCACATGGGGGGGTCAAGTCTATGGCTTGGGCTCCCAGGCACATCCATAATACACATTAATCGTCATAATCACCACCAGCCTCACGTGAGGTATATATTTCTTGTTTTAAATGTACTGATGTTTTTCTATACTCATAATTTTGTATTTGTGTGTGACCACCCGTAACACAGCTTATCACTGGCCTAGCAGCTGTGAGCTCCAGTTTGGGAACCCCTGTGTTAATGTTTTTCACACAAGTTTAGGACATCAGTACATGAGATTGTTCCAGGCAGAACACTCATAAGAACATTAAGAATGGCCATACGGGGTCAAAACCAAAGGTCCATCTCTAGCTTAGTATCCTGGCTTCCGACAGTGGCCCAGAGGGAATGAACAGAACAGGGAATCATCAAGTGATCTCACCCCTGTTGCCCATTCCCAGCTTCTGACAAACAGAGGCTAGAGACACCATTCCTACCCATCCTGCCTAATAGCCATCGATGAACCTGTCCTCCATGCATTAACCTAGCTCTTTTTTGAACCTTATTAAAATCCTGACCATCACAACATCCTCTGGCAAGAGTTCTACAGGTTGATTGTGTGTTGCGTGAAGAAATACTTCTTTATGTTTTAAACCTGCTACCTATTAATTTAATTTGGTGACTCCTAGCTCCTATGTTATGGGAACAAGTACATAACTTTTCCTTATTCACTTTCTGCACACCAGTCATGATTTTTTAAACCTCTATCATATCCCCCCTTAATCTCCTCTTTTCTAAGATGAGACGTCCCAAGTTTTTTAATTTCTCTTCATATGGCAGCCGTTCCAAACCCCTAATCATTTTTGTTGCCCTTTTTGAACTTTTTCCAATTCCAATACATTTTTTTGAGATGAGGTGACCACATCTGTATGCAGTATTCAAGATGCAAGCATACCATGGATTTATAAAGATGCAATAAAATATTCTCGGTCTTATTCTTTATCCCTTTTTTTAATGATTCCTAACATTGTTTGCTTGTTTGACTGCTGCTGCACATTGAGTGGATGTTTTCAGAGAACTATGCACAATGGCTCCAAGATCTCTCTCGAGTGGTAATAGCTAATTTAGTTCCCATCATTTTTTATATATGGTTGGCATTATTTTTTCCAATGTGCATTACTTTGCATTTATCAACATTAAAATTCATTTGCCGTTTTGTTGCTTAGTCTCCTAGTTTGGGGAGATCCTTTTGAAGCTCCTCACAGTCTGCTTTGGTCTTAACTATCTTGGGCAGTTTAGTATCATCTGCAAATTTTGCCACCTCACTGTTTACGCCTTTTTCCAAGAAATCTATTGGCCACTTTCTCCAAAGGAGAAGCTGGCTACATACCCCATGTCAAACTTGCTTATGAGGGTAAGAGAGCACAATCTACATTTGATAAATCCAAGCAGTGTATTAATATTTAATACACTGAGCACTCATGAATATACATACACGCCCACCTTACAGAATTCTACAAGGGTGGGGAATTGATATAGTGCCTACACTGGTAAATCTTCATGACAGTTTTGCTAGGATGAAACATACATGCATCAAACATAAGCTATTTACCATTCACATCTTATCTTTGACTCATCTTATACTTGGATCATAAATTCTCTGAGGCAGTCTTGCAGTTACATATTTGTGCAGTATCTAATGCCATTCGCCTTGGATCCTAGAACAGGGCCCTGTTCCATAAACAATCACCATGTTTTCTTATAATTTCCCCTCATTGCAAAGCTAATGGAAATATCATGGGCTCAGCCCCATCCTAGTTCACCGGCTCCTCTGACAGGATGCTGCAGTGACGATTCCATCCATGTCTCTCATAGCTGGGCCAGCAGCTCAATGCAGGATTCTGCAAGGAACGGTGCTATATCTATTCAAACTAGGATCCCAAACAGCAGCAGGTTTCAGGCATCCTACTCTCCAGTTGCACTGCTTTCCACATACAAGGAGAGCTGAGCATCTACTCTAGTATGCACCCCAGTTACCCCTTTCATTATGGAACATTATGGCTAAGAACACCGGCAAACTGAATGGGGCATTTTCAATTAAACTTTGTAAGGTGAATTAAATTAGTACGAACGGAATTGTTCAACTGCTGCACATTTCCAACAAAGGGCATCTTCCAAAAGTGAACTAAGGCACATATCTGGATCCATTTGGGGGAAATGTCTCTCCCCACAGAAAATACAATCTCACAGCCCCACAGAAAATACAGGAGCTGCCCTCTATATCCCTCCTGAGGTAGGACAATCCAAATCAAACCTTGCAGCAAGGAGCCAGACTTGCTTCTTCTAATATATGTATCACTGCAAGCACTAAAGAGCCACTCAGTCCAGCACAGACCAATTGGCATCAGAGGCTACAGCAGAAAATTCAGGAACCTGTCCACCTCCCTGCAACTTAGATAAAAGGTCCTGGGACAAGCTTTCACTGAGGGTCAGCATTTTAACAGGGCCACGTCCCAGTCTGTCCACCCTCCGGCCAAGTAACATGGAAGCCATTTCTACACAGCCACATATACCCCACGGTCATTCCAGGGGTGGAACAGTGCTCTGTATGTTACTCAGAAGCAGCCAGGTCCTGCCTTTATCTCTACAGTAGACAATGGAAAAGTTATCAATATTAGATACGTACTGCAGGCAAGAAGTGCTCACAGTGGATTCTCCAATAGGACTCTGCCTCTTTTGCATCTATTCTCTGAGGAATGGATATTTCCAGCCCTTACTCCCAGTAGACAGAAATAAGGATATGGCTAGAGTCCTGCAAATCTGCAGATATCCACTTTTTTTTCCATGGACCATTTTTGTGGACAGTGGAGCAAATAGAGAAACAAGACTCTGTTTACCAGCAGGGCTCAATTTACCAGCAGCACCCAGCTCAGGCAGCCCACAGAGCATGGGGCCAGCAATTGGGGCTGGGTGGCAGGTCGAAGTTGGGGTTGTTCAGCACCTGCTCACCATGCCGTTTCCTGTCCAGCAGCCTGGGCCTCTCAGGCAGCAACAGCATCCCCACCATGGCTCAGCCCGGCAGCGCTGGCCACACTTCCAGCCCCCTTCACCCCATTGTGATGCAACATGCGCTGCTGCTGCTGGTCACTTGCAAACCCCGGGAAGCAGCACACAAGGCAACATCCCTTCCCTCCCAGCTGTCCCCTCTCCGAGACCCCGCCCTACGCTGCAGCTTACTCCCAGTCTCTGCCCTCAAACTGCCTCTTCCCTGCTCATCCCCATTTCACCTTGTAAGATTGCTCGGCTGTGGGTGCGGCTACTTGTAAAAGGCTGTCAGTGGATCGCGGGTCGGATCACAGAGTGATCCCAGCGGATGCAGATCCGTATTTTTGTATCCGCACTAGGGATGTTAAATATCAATTAACTGAATAGTTGAGTAACTTCATGAATTCTTATCGGTTAGTCGACTATTCTATAGTCCCCAGGGGCAGGGCTGGCAACCAGTGAACTCTAGCCCCACTCCCAAGGAGTCCCCTGCCACTACGTGCGGGATGCCAGGTGGGAGCTGGTCCGCGAAGAAAGCCAGTTAAAAAAAAACAGCTCCCCTCACAAACCTACTGCCTGTTTGTTTCCCTGCCTCTGATACAGAGGCAACAGCGCAGGGTGGCAGCAGCCCCTGCCTGGTGAGGGGAAGGAAATGCGTGTAGTCTATAGCATTAACCTATAAGCTTTTGCTTATCAGATAATCGGTTAATCGACTACACTATTACATCCCTAATCCATACAAGGCTCCACAAGTAAAAGTATCTCCCAAGCCAGACACTCCGCTGAACTTTGTCAAGTGGAGTTAATAGTGTTGATCATTCTACTGCTTTCAGAGAATCAAGGAAGGCCCATGGGCCAGCAAGTTCCTTGCAGTCATGACAAGCTACTCTCCTAGGCTCAATGACGCTACCACCAGCAAGTGGCTGGAGAACTTGCACCCATTCCTATACACCACCAGAGAAGTCCCAAGAAAGAACGGGTATCAAGTCTTCATTTTCCATGTCCCTGAGTTTCAGCTGCTGCTGAAGTCTCCTGCCTTCTGGCTTTCTTGACTCTTGAGTTTGATCCGCAATTTAGCTGGTCTTTACTAGACCAGCTAAATCAACGCCTAGGAGATCGATCCTTGCAGCATCAATCTCCTGGTGAGTGTAGACAAGGCCTAAGGTTCATGTCATGTCCATGTATGGTGCTCAGCACAAAGGTGAAGACCCATCTGTTGTTCCTGTAATAGTCCCTAAGACTAGTCTAATTCAGCTGTGGGCAGGGATCAGGCCTCTGTGCTTTACAACACCATGTCATGGTAGATAAAGGAAAATGTATGCAGACTGAAAGGAGTGGGGAGGTGTACTCACAGGAATCAGCATTACACAGTAGTGCTGGGAGTCTAACCCCTTGTCCAGCTGCTGCAATGGGAACTCCAAGACCACCTTACTGAGCACTTGCATCACCTCCTTCAGGCCAATGTTGTAGGCATACCTGTAAGGGAAAGGGGAGGGATGTCAGTACGCACATCTTCTAGGACTATAAGCCTGTGCAATCTGGCAGCTATGGCAAATCGCTGAAGTCTGCTTGTCTGTTGCAGGGCACACATTTCTAAGGGTTGTATTACATTTTAACATCCCGCCCTGGGCCAAGTCTTTTTAAGAATGTAGCATGCTGCCTGGACGGGGAGAGCACACTCACCTTTACTGGTCTGATGCAGGAATATGATGGGGGAAACGAGAAACAGACCTTATTTGAGAAGTGGCAGGTAGAAGACACCAATTATACCCTGGGCTCCAATTTCATAGCCTTCCAGTGAGATAAGCAGGTACTGTTCACTTTTCATTAAGAATGTGAATGAGTAATCTGTTATCCATTTACCCGGTAAACATCACCTTTAATGGGTGATGCTTACTTGGTAAAAGTTAACCATTACCTGGGAGCAGCCCCCAGCCTGCAGCCCATCACAGGCAGAGGGCTGCTCCAGCAACTCAGGGCAGCTGCAAGCAAACAGGCTGGAGCAGCCCCTGCCTCCGGCACGGCCGGCCGGGCCGTGGCGGGGGGGAGGCCACTCCAGCCCAGGGGACTGGAATAGCCTCCCCCGCAACCCCGTTTAATCAGCTAAATTTCACATTTAACAGGGTAACTCATTAAATGGGATTTTACATCCCTACTTTTCATCACGCCTCCACAGAGCTAGGAGACAAACCAGGCCCACTGCCACTTGTGCTTTAGTCAGCTGGCTTGTCTGGGACTCCAGTTCACAGCCTGCCTCCTGCAGAGAGAGGACTTTAATGAAGCCCAACTGGTTTGTTCTGCCTAATTATTCTCAGTGACAGCAGAGGCTGGAAGGCGAATTCTAGAGCATATCCAAGCTGAGGTTACTCTAAGCAGTGGAGATGCTAATGAGCTAATGAACAGACCAGAAGATCAAGAAGGCTAAAACCCATGAGCTGTTGTGCACATAGTACTCCTGAGGGAATTCTGGTCACTGCACGTGCACAGAATGCACGTCACCCACAGATTTTTTTTATTCATTTTTTTTGCTTTCCTACAGAAAAATGACTTCTGATGGAGAAGCAAAGGGAAGCTGCAAAGCGGTTACATGCCCCACCCCGGCACATTGGTTCGGGTGCCTGGGAAAGCCAGTAGAGATGTAAATCACACGCACTGTCCCGCTTGCTTGCTATTGCAACATGCTTGACATGGAGAGGCAGGGCTTTGGGGTTGTTACTGAGGAGCTAGGTGTGGGGTAGGTTCTGTAATCCTCAGGCAAAGCTGAATGGAGCAGCCTGCCTGCCTAGTGAATTGTTCCCATTATCTCTAGGAATTCCCCCAAGAGTATAAAGCAGGTGTAAATTTAAAGGTTCCTTTGCAGTGCCAGAATGGTGTAAAGGACATTATGGCCTTACAAATACTGATGGTACTTGAGTGATCGATACTGGTCCAACTTTTTGGACTGAAATAATTTCCTATCAAAATGTGCTTCATGAACGGTTTGTGCTACTGACCTTTCTAGAGGTGGTCAGTAACCAATCAATATAAATTGTGATTTTGGTTCCCCAGCCCTCACTTGTCACCAGCTGCCGATGACGTAACACTGAACATGTGGCTGCGCATATTAGTTGACGAATAATCTACTATATATTTGACAGAGATGGTCTGTCTGTCCAAGAAGTCTTCCTAAACGGTAAGAGCTAGGACCGCCAAATTTGGTAGGCAGCTTCCTCTTATCATAATTGACAGCAAGGTCAGGGTTTGGTTGTGCCAGGAAAATTGATGTGCCTGGAATGGGATTTCGTGTCATAAAAGCATACAGAAAAGAGACAATCACCAGGCAAGTGAAAGGGGCTGGCTAGGGGAACCCCCCTCATCTGGGACTGCCCCGGCACCAAAGCCCTCTCCCTCCCCAGCTGACAAGCACAGGGGGCAGATTAACCTGGATCTGCCCAAGCCAGGGGACAAACATCCTTCCCCCGACTGTGCCTGCTGGAGCTGCAGTAACCATGGAGAGGCACTTCTCACCTGGCCCCAAGCTACTGCAGTGAGAGAGGTGGGGGGGAGTCCTCTCT